ATGACAACGCAGGCGCTTTTCGCCAGCCAGCACGGCCTGTACGAGGGAAGCCTGACTACTCGTCGAAAAGCTGCACGCGGTCTTTCAGTCTTTCCGGCTGTAAGTCTTGGGTCATGTTGTTTCAGAGTTGGTGAGGGCGTTCGCACTGTAACTTGTCAACTGCAGCCCGTAAGCGTGGTAAACTGTTTATGACTACTACGCGTTGGTTTTGGTGTCTGCGTTTTGCCACCTAGAATATGCAAATACGCGCAACATGCGGGCGGTCTCAAAAAGGCCCCCGCCTAAAAAATGAAATGGAGCATTGACAATTCGAGGGTCGTGTCCGGTTCATTTTCTTGCCTCGGCCAGCGCTACAGCTGTTTCCTCTCCTCCCTGGAAGCTTGTGTTTGGGTCCAGAGTCGAGGACCGTTTCGGGCCGAGGCTCTTGATGCAAGCATGTCGTGGTCATATCTGTGTCTGTATATCTATATTGAATTATTGAATATGTGTATATCTGTATGTACATATTTACTATATTTTTACAGATAATGGTTGTATTCACAGTGATATTGCCATTCCCAAGGTTTTGCCTCATGACAGCAAGACCTATCTCCTGCCAAGGTTCGAGCGTCGCCTACCGCTCTTCTGTCGGTGCGCTGGCCTTGCTCCTGGTCAGCTGCGGGGTTCACCAGCTAACCAGCGCCTCCAAAGCCCTAAAATTAGGGGGATCCTTAGGTATAAAACCCAAGAGAATATTAAACATACGGTTTATTATGGTTCTACAGGGCGTGTAGTCGTGTGATATATGTTAATGTTAAATTTCCTGAATTGAAGGGTGTTGGAGTGCTTCCATTTGGGGACCCCTACCCAAAGAGTGATGCACTCGCTTTGCATCCAGAATCGGATGATAGTTGTGTGGGGGATGGGAAGTCCCAGCTGCAAACTTCGAAGGGTGCTTGCTCTTAGATCATAGGCGGATTCTTGTTCTGGAGTCTTTGGGAAGCCTACCCCCCTTTTCTACCAGCGGCTTTTCTGTGAAGCCCAGGCTCTTGGGCTGCAGCAACCCAACCAGTGCCTGACGATTTTAGGCATTCTGCGCGCCCCTACCTGTTGGGACGCATGATGTGCATGTTGCATCAGATCCCAAACACACATATCTATATAATTGTCTATGCGTGTGTTGAACAATTGATTCCCGACAATACCAGTTGACTACTACTAGCAGTATGACTGTACCAACAATTATCAATACTGAGTGTCATGTAGACGTGCATGATCTTACATGACCATACACATACATATATATATATATATAGATCCAATACATGTTGCCTTTGTAAGTCCCCAATTCAACGAAAATATTTCTTTATAATACCAAATGACAATGAAATGAAATACAACTACTGTTATCTAATTCCTATTAGGATTCCTGTTGCTATAGCCAGCCAGAGTTGACCTAAACAGATTTTTGGGTGGCCAAAAAACAGCTTAAAACATGCTCATGTTTGAAAGAATCCGGCACGACGTGTGGAGCCCCCATGCCTTGGCCTAAAAAGTTCTATATGCTTAAGAATTAGAGGGACCCCCAAAGGGACCCCCAAAATGGTAGCCCTGTTTTTTGAGAAACCCCAAGTTGTGGGCAGGCCTGCTGGCGCGCCGCTAGGGCCTCGCTTCACCTGGACCTCTGCCGAAATGGGGGGCTCAAGCAGGCGTTCGCAGCTTAGAGGAACCCTTAACCCCAGACTTTCAAAGGAGGCTGGCATCCCAGAGATTCCCAGAGCTAAGTAGGAAATTCACGTGAGGTCTAGCCATGCAGGTCGCCTTGCCTTTGCCAAATGTGTGGCTTGTACACCCAAGCAGCACTTCGAATGCTCGTGCACCGGCCTATCTTCTTTGACAAAGCCCTGCCCTGCCTGGCGAATAAGCGCATTGAAGCACATTGGGCCCAAGGCTCAGCTATCAAAGGCCAGGTTTTAGGTGCCTGACAGGTGTGGGCTGACCAAGCGAGCCATGGGATTTAACATCTACGAGGAAGCTCCCGTGGTGCAGTCCAAGTACCACGGCACGGAGAAGCAAGTGTTGGCAGAGATTTTCCTCCAGCACGCAGTCTCTGGTGCCTTGCCCATAAACCCATGGTACGAGGCAGCCAAGTCCCTGTCCCGCGAATTCCCTGACCAACTGGGCTGCCTTGGCAATCATTCCATCCTGGGACGAGTTTTCCAGATGATTGACGAGAATCATGATGGCATCCTAGATCAGGATGAGTTCGTCAATGGCATGCATGAGCTCCTGCACCCCAGCACGGCGGCAGGGAAGACGCTCGCGGAGAGAATTGCCAAGGTCACTCTTCCGCCGGTGGAGACGGATTTCGAGCATGTGAAAAACGTCGCCATCATTGGTGCAGGAGTCGCGGGCCTTCAGACGGCACGCCGGCTGATGGAGATTGGAATCTCTTGTACCATCTTCGAGAAGTCTGAGAACGTGGAGGGGTGTGGCAGAAGAACTACGCAGACTTCGGCCTGCAGGTCCCGAAGGAGCTCTTTGAGTTCCCCGACTTCCCCTATCCTCCCGACTTCAAGTGCGACCTGTTCCCCACAGGCCCGGAGGTTCAGGAGTACATCGAGCTGTACGCCAAGACTTTCGGGTTGTACGACATTACGCAATTCAAGACGTTTGTCCTAGAGCTGTATCCAGCACGTGCTGGGAAGCGCGGCTGGACCGTCGTCTATGAGAAGGACAAGGAGCGCTCCACCAAGACCTTTGACTACTTGGTCGTTGCAACGGGCATGTATGGCTGGCCACCGCACGTTCCCGTTGCCCGTGGCTCCGAAAAGTTTAAGGGCCAGATTTTGCACTCCTGCACCTTCACGGATCGTAGTGTCGCCGCGGGCAAGAAGGTGGTCGTCGTTGGTGGTGGTAAATCCGCAGTTGACAACGCGGTGTCCGCAGCCAAGGCGGGCGTCTCCAGCGCCCTGGTTTGCAGATCCTGGCACTGGCCTGTTCCACGCTACTTGCTGGACTGGGTGCCCTTCAAGTATGCGACCTACAACCGTTTTGGGCATTGGTTCGTGCACCCCCACCACAGCGAAGGTCCGGCAGCACAATGGCTCCATGGTACATGCGCACCCGTCAAGTGGCTCTGGTGGCGCATCGTGGAGACGATGTTCCGCAGCCAGTTCAAGATCCCCAAGGACATGATTCCAGACGAGGGCATCGACGTCGATCTCTTCACCGGTGGGCAGATATTGGACTACGAGTTCCGGGACATGCTGGCAGCCGGGAAGATTCAGCCGGTCACAGGGGCTATTGACAAATTCACGGAGACCGGGGTCATCCTCACTGATGGCAAGGAGCTGGAAGCCGACATCGTGATCTACGGGACGGGCTTTACCAAGAACTACGACATCTTCGACAAGGTAATCCAGGAAAAGCTCAACATCCAAAAGGACGGGCTCTACCTGTACAGGAACATCATCCCGCCGCAGGTGCCAGATGTGGCTTTCATTGGTTGCGAAGTTGCCACCTTCAACAACATCTTGACACACGGCCTGCAAGCGCTCTGGCTGCAGAAGATGTTGGCTGGAAAGATGCAGGTCCCCAAGCCGGGAGCCATGGAGAAGGTGATTGAGAAGGAGCGCGCCTGGAAGCGAAGCTGGATGCCACCCTCAAGTGCTCGTGCGTGCCTCTACCAGCTGCACATGACCAAGTACCATGACATGCTGATTCAGGACAACCCTAAACCCTAAACCCCAAACCCTAAACCCTAAACCTTAAACCCTAAACCCTAAACCCTAAGTACCATGACATGCTGATTCAGGACACGGGCGCGTCGCGCTTCCGGAAGATGCCCAACTGCTTCGGCGAGCTCTGCTTGCCCATCACGGCGGCCGACTTTGCGGATCTTTTCCCGAAAAGCTCCAGGTGATGCTCAGTAGTACTCAGACTAATAATAACAATATACTAGTAAGAAATAAATATTGATACTACTAATAATGATCATAATATTAATGATAATTAAAAAAAACTATAGCGGCTGAGTGGCTAGTTTAAGGTTTTGTAGACACTGCAGGCCATGAAGAGTCTTGCCAGTTCCAGAGACATGCAGCAGAGGTCCGGAGCCTGAACCATACTGGAAATTTGCGAACAGTAGGAAACTTACTGCTTAGGGTTTAGGGTTTAGGGTTACTGAGGATGTCCTCTTGTCTGCCCCTGATGCTTGCCTTACCGGCGCTGTAGTTGCGCCTTGATTTACCGGCGCTGAGTTGCGCCTTAACTTTATGCAGCAGATTTGGACTCGAACTCTGATGGTTCCGCTGCTACACACTGCAGCGCAGTCACCAGCAAAAGCGAGCGCTTGCCATGCAACTTACACGGATGTATTCATGTAAGTTGTTATGGTGGATACTAGAATCCTGCATCACCCGAAATAATTTATACCTTGTCAATTATGGTATAGTAGGTTTTGTTTAGTATCAACAGTACTCTACTGATAGAGAGAAAAATTTTTGGGCCCCATGAATCCAAGCCAGGCCTGGTGACTCGGACCTCATTGCGCCGAGAAGGTGGCAGGCCAACAGCAGAGGCACGCCAGGGTTTCGGGTTAATGCTTGCGGGCTTGGGGGGTTCAGGGATTGTGGTGTAGGGTTCTTATGCAGTTCTTAACTGCCTGGCCGGGTTTGCGGGTTTGGGGCGCGTGCGCCCTCGCCCCGTCAGCGCCAGGATTTTCTTGTGTTAAGAAGAGAAGGAAAGTGCAGGGCCACACTCTTTGTCACGTTGTAAGAAAGCGTGGCGTTATTACGCTGTTTTATCATGCTGAAGATCAACCTTGGCTCAGCAGACGCCAACGAACCGAAGGTATGTGGGCCAAAGGCTTTCAGCTTTGAACCAGATGGTGAAGGACTCGGTACTTCTTTTCAGAGCGCTTGAGTTTTAGGTCCGATGATTCTGTTCTGGCAGGTGTGGGTTCTGTGCTTTCCGTGCCTGCTGCGATTCACCTGGATCTTGGTGCCTGGATGATGGTTGAGCTTGATCACCCAGTCGGGGAGTTTTATGCCTACGGCTTTCAGAACTAAACCCCAGCATAAGGAGCATGACCAGTTTTTCAAGTTTTGCAAGTCATCGTTTGATGCCTTCCTGGCCAGATTGACTCCGATGACCGTGACCAGCGTTTGATGAAGACCTGCGTGCTTTGAAACAGATGGGCAAGAAGGCTTGGCTTCCCCTGACGTCATAGAAAGCAGAATCGTGGCTCATCCGGCGAAGGGAGTTGGACTGTCAGATCGAAGCATGGAGACTACTGCAAGGAGTATGGCGAGAGAAGAGGGAAGCCAATGAAGAGGAGCACACAGTGGCCGAGTTCATGGAATCTTGCATCCGTGGCCGCACCGACAAGTCTGGTGAGTGGACTACCAACAGCGATGCCAAATGCTTCGAGAGTGGCAGCTGCAACCAAGAGGCAAGTGGCGAGTCTGGTGTCCAACTGGTGGATGGTCGGGCACAACCTCGTTGGCGACTCTCTGGTCGGCATCGTTTACAGGAAAAGCCAGGGAGCAATCTCCACAGTCGACGGAACTGGTGCATCCCTTTTGAAGGCCCTCAGGAATCACGTTGCAAGGCTTTGACCGGCCGCGGACAGTTTCTGAGTTGGCACTTGAAGTTTTGCCAGGTCATGGCTTGGAGGTACTGGAAAAAGCGCGAGAGTTTGGAATGAAAAATCTGTGGAGACACTGCTGCAGGGGATATTGCGTTGAAAGGAGATGAATACCACTTGACAGTCTTTGAAGCAAAGAAGCGTTTCCATGAAAGCTGCCATTGGAAGCTCAAGCCTGCTCAAGTCTTGTTGAGGCTTGTGGCAAGGGTTTCTGGCAGTACTCACAGGTAGCAGTGTACCTTTAGTATTGAAGCATCGGAGGATTGTCGAATATGACACGCCTCCTGATGGCGCCCTCGAAGTTTTTCCTCTTGCAGGTAATCTTCGAATGCGGACACGCCTACAAGTTTTCAGAGAGTCAGGAGCGTCACGAGCGCCAGCTCAACGACAGCTACGAAGCTCTGAACGTAACGAAGGCTCTGAAGGATGTGAAAATGACGAAATCATGTCGTAGTTGGGTTGAGCCAGCTTAACGTGAAAACATGTTAAGGTAACAATGGCCTGTTCTAGTCATTTTGTCGTAAGTGATCTTGGACTTAGCATGTGGACTGCAGCCTGAAATGTCATTGTTGTAGCTTGAAAAAGCTTATGATCCACATCTTGTAGCTAGAATTTAGGTGCTCAAGATCAGCCGTCTTATGTCCACGGGGATCCTGAAGGTGCCTCTCTATAAGGAGTTGTCTGCTGCATTGCCCCTCGTGATTCGAAACCTCACGAACTACAGTGGCCTCATCAATGACAAGGGAGCTCCGGCCAACCCGAATATCACGTACCATTTCGGCGAGCTGGAGAAGGACCTGGCTATGTTATCAGACAAGGTCAGCGGCTTCTACGCCGTCTTGCACGAGATGTTGCCGGATGGCAGTGGACCATTCCTATGCCCTTTGCACAAGCAGAGTCATATCAAGGAGTGCCTCTTGATGGCCACGTGCCTCTTGGAGTATCATGTGCCCGAACAAATCGAACTGCAAGCATTCACCACCTACATGGAGATGACCCAGCGTTTCATCGACATTAGTTGGGCAGTCTTGAAGGAAGGCTTGCTGATGGAAGAGCCCTCTCCGATTTTGAACATGGATGCCGTACCTCCCAAGAAGTACCAGTGCGATCTGCTGGAGCATGACAAGGTGACCCCGCCCGCCGGCCATGCCATGCTTCAAGTGGATGAGGCATCCGGGTCATCAGAGTCGGAGTTTGAGTCAGATGGGGCGACTCTCGCGATGTCCTCAGCTGTGGTGCAAGCCTCCAAGGTCACTTTCCAGATCTTGAGCTCACATCAAGTTGGCAGCTCTGTTGATGCCACCATCCTGAAACTGCACGAGCTTTGGATGCCGATTTGCAAACATCTGAAATGCGACCATAGCAACTTTTGGGATTTGCACTATGCCTCATATCGGCAAACGGCCTCCTTGCTCGAGCTCAAGTCCGGCTTTGCCGCGCGACGCGCCATGCGCCGCGAGATCCAACATCGTGTGAAGTTGGAGAAGAGGTTGGGTGAGTTTGTCTCCGAGAACCATGAGTACTACTCCAGGCTTTACAATGGAACCACGCACTTCCCTCCTGGCCGGCGATTTGTGGACTCGAACTTCATCCAGGCGTCCTCACGAGCTGCGAGGCTCAGTTTGCTGGCCCAAGCGCGCGAATCCATGATCGGCCACATGACGGATTTCGCACACGAGGTCAGCACGGAGGATGAGAACAGGGCCATCAGGTTGTTCGACCATGTGGAGTATCGCAAGTTCCAGAAGGACAGGCATGGACGCCACCCAGTCTCCCTGCTGCAGGATGAAGAGAACGAAGGGATCGAAGAGATTGAGCAGGAACACAGCGAGGAAGCTGAAGACGAAGATGAAGGTGAAGGCGAGGAAACT